CAGTGACCATGAAGTAGCTTCGCTGTACTAATTCCCTGACTCTTTTGAACTGCTGTGTGTTTGATTGTCCACACATCATTCTTCATATCTGCTTTCTGTAGTATGTTCCCTCTGAATCCTTCCCACTGGCTGTTCACCTCCATCAGGCAGTCACAGCTGTGTTGTGGGGATGGTGTGTGCCCCTCTTCAGTCCTGTTTTCCAGAGGCTAAAATGCAGATGGAATCGTCATTCTAGAAGGGCAGAAGGGACCCCTGGGGAAATGTAATGTGAGGTACTGGGCATTTCTTATACAAAGTGAGTGACTCACTATAGGTCACAAGGCAGGTTGACAGCAGAGGATGGGAGAGAGCCCCTGCTTCTTGACCTCCAGGCATGGGACCCAAGCACTGAGCCACACTGCCACTGCTGGGAGCAAAAGGGTACAATTATTAGAGGACAGATCAGCTGATTAACAAACCAATATGTGATCTGTAAGGCTGGAACCAGCTCCTGGAGCTTGCAGAGCTCACTTGTGTCTTTCAAAAGTAAAGGCAAAATGCTGCACTGTATGGATCAACCCCAACCAGGAGAACACAGTGAAGAGATGAGCTGATGGTTCTTTCCCATGTCTGTCCTCGAGGCCTCATCTATAAAATATTGATCTACCATTGCAAAGTCCTAGATGCTCCCTGGTAACCCGGATAGGGCTGATCCTCTGCTCACTGTCATGTTATGTTATGGGATCATTTATCATTCCAGGGGGCAATAGCAAAGACCATGCTAGTGCAGCTAGCAGTGTTGCTGTGACTGATGCTTTTCCTTCTCTCTCTCGTTTTCCAGAATGCAGGTTTGAAAGTTTCCACTAACACCAACATCAGGATGCCCTGCTTGACTGAAGAATTTATTCCTGTCCGTGAAACTTACAAACACTACAAAGGCCCAGCAGGTCCACTACTCACTGGAGGTCAGTGGGGCCTGAAACTAGACCCTGTCCTTCTCTCTTCTTTCAAATGCATCCTCTGGCCTCTGAAGGCAAATAAGCCAATGGCTCCTGAATCAGGCCCAGAACCTGGGCTGTTATCCTGGTCCTGATGCTGCCCATTATTTGCAGTGAAGGTTTTTATATTATTCTCATAACAGCAAGGGGTTAGTACTTTGAGGGCACCAAGGGGGCAAAAATCTGCAGTTGCTGAGGGGTACACACATGGTACTTTCTGTAGGATAAGCCTCTCCTTGGGTGAAGCAGCCAATCACTGTTAGGACATGAGAAAGCCAGAGCTCTTGCTGCTCCCCTTCCGTAAGTGGAAGAAAAGGCTTCTAATCATTCACATATTTCATGGGGGCAACATACTATGAACTGTCCTAATAAACCAAGGGTTTAGGCATTGGCTGCTGTGGTCCCACTGCTTTACCTGTGGCAGGTTAGGCTGTTATGTCAGGTTTTGTGTTAGGGCTGGTAGCTTTGCTTTGAGGTTAGATAATGGATTTGTATGGGTTTGGATAGGGATGATCCTGTCTCGGGCAGGGGCTTCAACTAGATGAGTTATCAAGGTCTCTTCCAGACCTACTTGTCTGTGATTCTATGACTTGATTTTGCACAGGTTTTGTTCCACCCAGAACCTGTTACCCATGCCACTAAGAATGGTAAGCAGTGTTACAGGTTTCCCAATGCCCTTTCTGCATTTTCTAGAGTGGAGATCAAGGGAGCGAATTAGAGTGGGGATGGGATCAAGAGCTCCCGAGAATTCCCTGGACAATGCCATGCCAGAGCCCATCATCCATGAGGAGCCTGCACCACGGGCATACTTCCCAGAGACATGGCTGTGGGATCTGGTCCCTGTGGGGTGAGTGAGGACATATTACAGACCTACCTGGCAGGGCTGATCTCCATTGAGTTGCAACTGCAAACACAGAACAGAGGGAAGGTTTGCTGTCCTCCTAGTGCTGACTCCTTCTCCTCAATAAGGGCAGAGGCATAGTGAGATTTTTCAGTGCACAGGGGAGAAATGCGGATGGAGAAGGGAAATTAAACTGGCCTCTGGGGAGTGGAAAAGGGGAGACTGGGGGAGAGGAGGGATGGCAGGGAGAGAGGGAGTAAAATCTTGCGTGCCCCTGCTTATCCAGCTGATGTAACAGTGCCAGCTCAGGCTGCTGCGTTGGGTCAGGCAGTGACATGGGGATCCCCAGAGGTCACTCCTGGTGCCCTGTTCACTCCCCGCTTCCATGACAAAACCACCCCAGGGGCAGGCGGCCATCATTGCAACTCCCTTTGGAATATGTTATTCGGCACAGAGCAGTATCTGCTTGACTCCTATGGCTGGGCAGTACAGGGCTGCTCTCTGGATGGGAAGGGGCCATATTGGTGCCCCCTCTAAGCTGGCACCCAGTTCAGGTGTGCTGCTTACCCCATCCAAGTACGCTATTGCAATAGAAAGGAACCCAACACAGTGGAGGGGAAATAAAAAGCCAGCAGGGCCATGGGATCACTCTGGGTAGCTGTTCCAAATCCCAGGAGCAGGAGAGAGGGAAAGGCATTAGGAAACCCAGGGATGGTATATTACCAGCACAGTGCGACCCACACTCGACCCCACTCAGGACTCCTTTTGGGGTGACAGGCCAGCAGTTGCTCATGCAGATCTTGTGCCCTTTGTCATGTCTCATTCACACGCATCCCCTGACATCTCCTGCGCAGAGAGATGGAAGGGGCTGGAAGCCCAAGAAGGGAGAAATGTTGAGGATGCACCACAGTGTACAAGAAGAAGGACAGATGCTAAGCAATAGAGAGTTCAGGCTGAATCCCCGCCTGACACCCTGACACACAGATGGGTCCAGGGTGGGATCTCTTGGGGGGTTTCTCTCCAGCAAGGGGAGAGCCCTAGAGCCTCAGGGGCAGATCCAGCATTTTCTGACCTGAGTGGATTAAGAAGAAATGAAGAAAAACTCCCACTGACAACTCTGCCTGGCCCTAAGATCTGGGCTTGGCCTATTTCTGTGCAGCCTCCCCTGTGGCCCACACCAGGGAAAGGGAGGGTCAGGCAGGGTCTTCTCTAATGGCCATGTCCAGCAGGCAATGTCCACCTTTGTGTTCACTGATCTTTTGGTGCCTGCACTGTCCAGTGAAGGGGCAGGCTCACAACCCCTCAGCCGCCTGCCACCAAGTGTGCCCTGACCAGCGATTTCACTGGCAGGAAACTAATTCCCAATCACAAGAACTCACGCTGGACACCTGTTTCTACGTGCTCAGCTCCTCCAGTTAAGGGAGCAGAAACAGTACCATCCTGGCTCAGGGCTGGGATGGCAATCAAAGGAAACCTGGGCTATGTCTATCTGACATTACTCTGTGTCTGCACTATCCAGCGAGGAGGGCTCCAACAATGTCCCAGTCACCGTCCCTGACAGCATCACAGAGTGGAAGGCCGGGATGTTCTGCACGGCAGATGTTGGCTTTGGACTTTCCTCCACGGCCACCTTGACAGCCTTCAAGCCATTCTTTGTGGAGCTGGCCTTGCCATGTTCTGTGATCCGTGGAGAGGCCTTCACCCTAAAGGCCACTGTCTTCAACTACCTGCTGCAATGCATCAAGGTGAGCAGAGTTACAATAACATGCTAAGGCCATGTGGTCCCATTCCTTGGATCTGGTGCCTCTGAGCAGTAGTGCCAGTGGTGCCAAACGTAACCCAGCAGCCACAGGAGATGGGACCCAGGGGCCCACTGGTGCCAGCACCTGGCAATGAGCTGAGCCTGAGCCCCAAGGTGCTACGTCCTGTCTGGAGCTCCTGAGTGAGCATGTCCCAGGAACCCTAAGAGAGGTCTCATGTTGGGTCCCATAGGTGCAGGTGACACTGGTGGAGTCTACGCAGTTCCAGGCACAGGCTGGAGAGGAGAGCGCTTACACCAGCTGCCTCTGTGCAGAAGAGGGGAAAACCTTCCAGTGGGAGGTGACAGCCACCAGCCTTGGTAAGGGGTCTGGCTGTGCCCCAAGTCAGCCGGAGGACAGCCAGAGCTGGGGGAGAGGACAGCTGCCCCTGAATGGAAACTCCTCCCACACAACTCAGCCTTTAACACAGTCTACCCTTCACTTGTCCTTTCCTTCCTCACATCACCCTTCCTTCTCTGCAGGGGAAGTGAACTTCACTGTCAGCACCGAGGCCCTGCACACCCAGGAGCTGTGTGGCAATGAGGTGGTTATAGCGCCTGCCCAGGGGAGAGTGGACACTGTGATAAAGCCCCTGCATGTCCAGGTCAGTTTGGCCAGGGTCCATCTCTCAATCGGACAACACAGAGAGGGGGTGGTATATCTCAGTCTTCCTTCTTAGCAGATACAGACCAAGTTGCCCATTGTGATATTTTTCGTCTTGCCACAGAAAACAAATCCTTGCCATAAATTTGTCCATCTGCCTGCTCAGTCAAGTGCTGCCTTGTCACATTGACATATGGGAGCTCACAGCAGGGTTAGGTGTTAGCCGCAGTGGGTGTGCGATGTGATGTGACCACTGGGCTCCAAACAGTCTGTTTAGGAAGTGGTGGGAGCCCTAGGCCTGAGGTGCTGATATCTAGATGGCCCCAGCCCAGCGCAGCCTGGCAGGCAGATTGTGCCAAGTGGAAGCTGAGGCTGCGATACCTACAGAGGTCCAAGGGCCAGCCAGGCTCCGGTATGGGCAGTGCCTTCTCCTGACCTTCTGTCTGATGCTGCTTCCCCACAGCCGGGCGGGATCCTGGAGGAGAAGGCGCACAGCTCCCTGCTCTGCCAGGAAGGTAGGATTCCAGCATCCCACCCTGGTAGGGGAGGGGCCAGCACATAGCTCTGCCGTTTCTCTGCTGTGCTCAATCTCAGACATCTCCATTGCAGGGAGCCCAGGTCGTGGGACACCAGGCTGGGTCAGCCTGCAGGCCCAGGACCCTGCCCATACCCAGCTACTCAGTGGAAAATGCTTCCTGTAGAGGGCATTAGTGGCACCCTGTGCAGATGGCTTAAGGCTTGAGCACATCCAGCTGTGGATCCTAGTCTGGTTATGACTGTGTGGGGACAGATCCACATCCCTTCTTGCTTGCCCCCATGTCCATGGTTCACTCTCTCTCTCAGAGGCCAGAAAGGGCCAACTACCTGAAGGGAAGTTCGAAGGACAATGGAGCTAGACCGTTCTCAGTGCTGGTGGATGAGAGAAGAAGGAGCAACGGTCTCAAGTTACAGCAAGGGAAGTTTAGATTGGATATTAGGGAAATAAAACTCTCACTAGAAGGGTAGTCAAATACTGGGCCAGGTTACCCAGAGAGGTGGTGGAATCTGCATCTTTGGAAGTTTTTAAGACCCAGCTAGATAACGCTTTGTCTCGGAAGATCACTGTTGACTCCAGGAAGAACATGAGTCACCAATGTGATGAAGCAGTTGGCAGAGCCAATCGCACCTTGTCGTGCATCCGTAGGTGCTTCACAAACAGGTCCAGGGAAGTGATTCTCCCCCTGTATGCAGCACTGGTCAGACCACAGCTGGAGTACTGTGTCCAGCTGGAGCACTGAGAAAGTTCTTCACGGTCAGTTTTGCCAGAATCTGGAATGGGCTCCCAAGGGAAGTGGTGCTCATCCCATCCTTGGGGGTCTTCGTGAGGATACTGGACAGGCACCTGACTGGGATCACATGATCCCAGGGTTGGGGACTCTTTTCTTGCCTGCCAGGGGCAAGGGGTTGGACTAGATGGCCCACTGAGGTCCCTTCTGAATCTATGAATCTATAAATCTAGTTGGGGCTGGTCCTGCTTTGAGCAGGGGGTGGACTAGATGACCTCCTGAGGTACCTTCCAACCCTAACTTTCTCTGCTTCTGTGATCCTACAAATGTAGGGCTCCAGTTGGTTGGAAGGGGCAGTTTCCCAGCAGGACTCAGCTTTGTCTCTTTCCCCATTTTACACAGTGTCAGAGAACGTCTCCCTGGCGATTCCTGGGAACATAGTGGCAGGCTCTGAGCGAGCCCACGTGACTGTCCTGGGTAAGGATCCCCAGCCTGTCCCTGCCAGGGCAGGACCTATCCCTGCAGCCTCCTCTCCAGGGCATTTTCCTGTCTCCACCACTGGGACTCACACTTTTCCCCTATTGTCCATGTCACCAGCTTCTGTATCTCAGTGGCAGAGAGCCTCTCTTCACATTCAGCCTGTGTACTCCTATGACCGGTTCTTCTCCATCCTGGATGTAACCCCAAGGTCCAGCCCCATACCAGTGACCCCTGAAGTGTTTGTCAAGACCATGCAGCTTTACTGCAACCCACTGAGTTTCTC